TTCCCCATGAGGTGATCTGATGTGATCAGCCAGTCACTTGTAAGGGGACTAGTGGGGGATGCAACTCTCTTAATCAGGTCACAGCCCTGAGCCGATGTAAGTGGAGTTTCCCTGGGGTGTAACCTGCATCATCTTTTGTCTTGCAAGAGATAAAAGAAGAGAGAATTGAGCAGAAAGGGAGGGACCTCAGTATCACCAAGAAAAAAGAGCTGGAAGCAGAGCAAACCAGGGTCCTTTGCAGCCAGGGTCTCTGTTTGTGAACCTCCTAGACCCAAGGGAAGATTAATGCCAAGACACAAGGAGATCTCCAAGATACGTTGGGCCTACGGAAAGAAGACAAGAAGTCCAAGCTACACTAAAGGCATTGGTGAAAAACAGGCCTCCAGGAATTGACGGAATACCAGTTGAGATGTTTCAACAAAAGGATGCAGTGCTGGAAGCACTCACTTGTCGATGCCAGGACATTTGGAAGATAGCTACCTAGCCACCTCACTGGAAGAGATCCGTGTTTGTGCCCATTCCAAAGAATTGTCATCCAACAGAATATGGAAATTATTGAACAATATCATTAGTATCACATGCAAGTAAAATTTTGCTGGAGATAATTCAAAAATGGTTGCAGGAATACATTAGCAGGTAACTGCCAGAAATTCAAGCTGGATTCAGAAGAGGACATGGAATGAGTAATATGGCTGATGTCAGATGAATCTTGGCTGAAAACAAAGAACACTGGAAAGATATTTGCCTGTGTTTTATTGACTGTGCAAAGGTATTTGTGTGGATCATAACAAATTATGGATAACATTGTGAAGGACAGAAATTCCAGAACACTTAATTGTGCTTATGAGGAATCTGAACATAGACCAAGAGGCAGTTGTTCAGACTGAACAAGGGGATACTGCATGGTTTAAAATCAAGAAAGTTGTACGTCAGGGTTTTAGTCTTTCACCATACTTATTCAGCCTGTATGCTGAGCAAATAATATAAGAAGCTGGAGTATATGAAAAAGAACAAGGCATTAGGATTAGAGGAAGACTTACTAACAACCTGTAATATGCCGATAGGAGCTCTGGTGGCATAGTGCCTAAGGCATTTGACTGCTAACCAGCAGGCTGGCAGTTAAAACCCACCAGCCACTCCCTGGAAGGAAGATGGGGCAATCTATTTCCGTAGAAATACAGCCTTAGAAACCCAATTAGGGGGGTCATTATGAGAGAACTGACTCGACAGCAGTGAGGTCATTTTTTTTAATATGCTGATGACACACCCTTGTTTGCTGAAAGTGAAAAGGACTTGAAGCACTTACTGATGATCAAAGACTCCAGCATTTTGCATGGTTTACACTTCAACATAAAACAGAATTCCTCACAACTAAAGCAATAAGCAACATCATGATAAACAGAAAAAAATTAAAGTTCTCAGGGATTTCATTTTACTTGGATCCATGATCAACAGCCGTGGAAGCAGCAGTCAGGAAATCAAACTACTTACTGTATTGTGCGTATCTACTACAAAAGATCTCTTTAAAATATTAGAAGCAAAGATATCACTTTGAGGACCAAAGTGCATCTGATCCAAGTCATTTTCTTTTCACTCACCTAATAGGCAGAGGTTGGGCATTCCTACTTCCATAGTGATACTGCCTCAGAAACCCAAGGAGAGGTCGCTATGAGTCGGGGCCGACTCGATGGCAAATAACAACAACAACAGGCAGATAAAGCTGGAGAGTGAATAAAGGAAACTGAAGAAGAAATGATGCTTTTGAATTATGGTATTGGTGAAGAATATTGACTACTGCGTGTGGCAGAACAATGAACAAATTTTTCTTGGAAGAAGTACATACAGAATACTCCTTAGAAATGAGGATGCCAAGATTTCATCTTATGTACTTTAGACATGTTATCAGTAAGGATCAGTCCCCAGAGAAGGACATCATGCTTGGTGAAGTAGAGGGTCAGCACAAAAGAGGAAAACTCTTGATGAGATGGATTGACACAGTGGCTGCAACAGTGCACTCAAGTGTAGCAAAAACTGTGACGATGGCACAGGATCAAGCAGTGTTTCTTTCTGTTGTCCCTATGAGTTGGAACTGACTTGATGGCAACTAACAGCAACAACAGTGTGGGGTTAAATTGACTAGAGCAAAAAAAAAAAAAAAAAAAAATTGACTAGAGCACCTTAAAAGATTAGCTAGGATTTAGGTAGCAGTGAGGTTATGTTGATAGAGGAAGTACAACTCAGAAAAGGAGGGCAAGAATGGTTGCACAACTTGAAGAATGCAGTCACTGTCACTGAATTGTACATGTAGAAACATTTGAATTGATGTACGTTTTGCTGTGTATATTCTCAACAACAACAAAATAAATAAGATTTAGGAAAAGAAGAAAACTTTTCAGTGATTCATAATTGCCTACACAGGATTAAAGCCAAGGACCCTGTTTAACTTTCCTTCTGTTGTTTACCGTTCTTGTCTCATCCAAACTGCTAATAGTTCTCCATTGACACCATGTTCTTTGCTTTTCTGCCATTGCGGTTGCTTTCTCTACTCTGTAAATTGCTAACTTTTACAGACTATTAAATTGCTATTCAGCCATCTTTCTCTTTGTACCCTTATTCTCCTCCATACCCTTATTCTTTCTCCATACCCTTAATCTCCTCCCGCCCACTCTCCCCACATGTACATGAGTTCTTGTACACCTAGTTAACTCCCCCAGATATAACACCTGTGAGTCTTTGATTATTATACAGATTGTGGGGTGTTCACTAAAAAACGAAAATAGTATGTTTTGAACTTCATTGTCAATCATGAACCTTTCCTTAATTTGACAGTTTTTGTCTCAATTATAATTTTATCTGTCTTCTCTCCATGTGCTGTCCCCTTCCCTGCTTAGTCTTTTCTTCTCTAGTTTCAAATTTTGAACTTCTGCTTTTTGGCCTAAACTATTTAATTGTGCATAGGTAACATTTCTTGAGCTGTTTACTATTTTCACTATTTCTGGAAATGTTAATAGGCTGGATGACTGCTACAGATGCTAATAGAGGCTAATATTGTGTAGAAGGGTAAACTAGATGATTGAGAAGCTTAGACTGAGAGAATATTCTAGCTGCAAAGGGTCTGAGAGATACTTAGACAAGCAGTTTCCAAACTTGATTATGAATATGAGCTCTTTTAAAATTATGCATATTTTTGACTCCTATCCATAGTCTGAACCCTTCACTTTAACAATGAAGAAATTAAAGTCTAGTTCACACTCCTACTTAATACCACATTTAACATAAACTCACATCTCCCATCATTTCTTCTGCTGCCCATTGATTCCTTTTCTGTAGCATTCATTCAGCTAACAAATAAGTATTTATTTAATACTCTTTGGATTCAGTGCCATATCCTTTGAGAGTATAGCTCTGGGCCAGTGTCTGATACTCTTTTTTGCTCTACATTTCCAGTCTTTATAATCTTGGTAAGTTTGTGGCAAACTCTTTGCCACAGTTTACTGATCTGTAAAATAAGGATGATAATTCCAGAAGTTTACGCTTATATTTTATACTTTCTATGATTTAACAAGGTCCTTTGTATTACAATCTAGACAGTCCAAAATGATAAATGTGTCAATAGGATTAGGGTTAGCTGCATATTAGAAGACAAATAAAGAAAGTAGTAATTTATACAATGTGTAGAAAGTTACTGTTCTCACCCATTAAAGAAATCTAGAGGTAAGCAGTCTAGAGTTGTTGATGATGTTATAATTATAAAAAATCTAGGCTCCATCTCTATTGCTGTTTTGGTATGTTTGGTTGAACCATTTCATGATCTAGGTTAGCTGCTTGCATCTAGCAATTATGTTGGAGTCTAGAAAGAGGAAAGAGAGGAAGAAAGACATTTTCTTTTCCAGGAGGGCTTCTCTCAGAAGTTGCTTACAAAAGTTGTGCATAATTTCATTGGCCAGAACTCAGTCTGACAGAGAAGTCTGGAAATGTTGTCTCTTTCCAGTCATGTGCCTAGCTAAGAATTGAGGGTTCTGCTACTTAGAAAGAAGGAGAAAAGGGATCCTGGGGTAGGCATGAGTGCTACTACAATAACAATATGAATTACCATGTGCCTAGCTAAGAATTGAGGGTTCTGCTACTTAGAAAGAAGGAGAAAAGGGATCCTGGGGTAGGCATGAGCGCCACTACAATAACAATATGAATTACCATGGTTCTGATAGATGCTGTATAAGTTATAGAGAGTCAAAGAATCTGAACCTGAGTACACCTTGGTCCTTGTCAACAGGGCAATTTCACATAGAGCTCCATACTCCATTTGGAACTTGCATGTGTCTGAGTGTTTTGTTAAGCAAAAATGTGGTCATCTCTTCACTCATTGGTCACCAAACATTTTTGCATGAGAGCAACAGCTTTTTAGTAGATGTGATTAATCAGTTCTCTCCTAATTGAACCCTTTTTTAGCTTAGAGAGATGAAAAGACAGAAATGAAGGACAGTTTGTTTTTGGTCACCTGGTAGTATGAAGACTTCCTGTAGACTTTCAGTAAATGATAGCTGCTTTGTTATGACTACAGTAAGTTCCTGGGTCATGCAGTCTGACTAACGGACTTGTACTTGCCCTTTGGTGTTATGTAAATTTGCCCTCACTTTGATATGATTGAACCAACCCCTATTTGCAACAAAATTTTCATCATAATCACCTTCACTTGCTGCACGTGCAGCTTTTAAATCATTGAAAGGCTTCCAGCCTTTTCTTGCACTAAAGTTAGGCTAAATAAGAACTGTATGCACCTGTTACAACTTACAACAAATTCAACTTAAAGACCCACTTAGGAATGGATCTTGTTCATAACCTGGGACTACCTGTACTATTAATATTTGATTAGATCATTTCCAAATTCCTCTCTAGTTTTGAAATTGTCTTTGGATTCCATTCTTCAAGTAATTTTGATCACCCCATAATTTTTTGCTTTGCTTTAAATATGAACTTCTGTTATTGTTTTAAAATTCTAGTTCTCAATTTTGAGCCATATGGACTCTCCTTTTCTTCATCTGGTTTCACTGGACGACAGTCTCCTGCTGGCATTTCTCTTGGTTCAGATATATCTGGGAATAGTGCTGAGATGGGGCTGAAAGAGTAAGTTCCTTTCTTATTAAAAGTGAGAATATGTGAGTGCTTATGTGTCTTTGGGCATTCCATTTGCTTTCTGCTTTTTATCATCATCATCATTATTTGTTTATTTTAGGGTGACTTCTAAGAAGTTTATTATTTCAGTCGTCTTCAAATAATTTTCAAAGGAAGAGGCACATTTGTGACAATGTGGCTTACTATAATGGCTTAGAGGGGTCTCTGAAAGCTAAATTCTGTGTGGGTCAATTGTCTCATTTGTTTTCTATTTATTGCTCTCAAGGTGTTGATATTGTACAGTATATCTGTGCTTAAACACTTTACTTTCCAAGACATCATTGAATATATACAAGCTTTATGCATAATAGTAAGTAAAACATATTTTCATTTTTTAAGGGAGAATATCAGAACTTATATGTTCAACATATCATTGTACATTCCTCATTATCTATTAGTATCATTCTTCTGATAAATACTTGTAACCATCTCATTGGAAGACAAAGAGATGAACATAACTGATTTCACCCGAGCAGGTTATATTCTTTGCTCAAATTGCTTTTAGAGCTTCTTTCCAACCACCTTGAAAATGAGTGATACGTTTGTCTAAGTGTCTCACATGGAGACAAACTTTCATCCTTTTAAGACAGATTTTGTTTTGGGAAGCATAATTAAGTGCCTTTTAGAAACATAATTAAATTTTAAAACTGAGATAATATTTGTAATGCCTAGTACAACCCAATACACAGTGAGTGACTGATAAATGGTAGCTGTTATTATAATCATTCACATCATCATCATCATCATCATCATCATTATCCAGAAGCTGAGTTTACCAAATACACTTAATGGCTTATCTGGATAATTTTAGTCAAAATCCTGATGTTACAATAAAGTAAGGATAATATCTTTCTTGCCTTTGCAAGAGCTTCTTTTAAAAGAATCCAAAAATATTGTGAGTAATGGCAATGTTGTTGGAATAAATGTCATAAACTCTCAGAGGCAATAGCTTTGAAAGATGACTTTTGAATTTTGAGATATTGTAGATTTATTAAGAAGTCAATCACTTAATTTTATGTTCATCCATTTATTTGTCAGTCTTCCAGTGAGATGGCTATAAGAAGTTTTTATCAGAATGACACAAATAGATTATTCAGAATGTAGCATGATTTGCTGAATGAAATGATCTATATTCAAGTAATCTTCCTAATTGTTTGTTTTTCTGCTCTGTTGACACCTTTATTCTCTTTCCCAGGCATTAATTTTGGTATTCTGAGCATGGGAAGCAGATATGGTGTATGGGAGCTCTGGTGGCATAGTGCCTAAGGCATTTGACTGCTAACCCAGAAGGCTGGCAGTTCAAACCCACCAGCCACTTCTCAGAAGGAAGGTTGGGCAATCTACTTCCATAGTGATACCACCTCAGAAACAAGGAGGGGTTGCTATGAGTTGGATCCAACTCAGTGGGAGTGAGTTTTTTCTTTTCTTTTTTTTTTTTTAATTAGGATTTGGGTGAAGATTTACAGAGTAAATTCACTTTTCATACAGCAGTTCACATATACTTTGTCTCATGTCATTGACCAAAATTTACAATGCAGCAGCTCCCCTCCCACTTCCTCCCCATAGTTACCTCCTCCCAGTGTCCGTCCCTTCATACTCTTCTGCACCCTGAGCTATCTCCCTGTGCATAAGCAGCCCTTCCTTCTCCCATGATTGTTCTCTCCAGGGCGTGTGTCTACTTGAGGTAAATGTTTAACTCACATGCCTGTATTTTGTTTGGCTGGAAACCACAGTTGTGGGTTCAATTCCAGACCTTCAGGGCAGCTAGGGGCCATAGTCTCAGTGGTTACACCAGGCTCTATTGGACCAGCAAACCTGGTCCCCACCTTCTTTTTTTTTTGCCTCCAAATGATTTTGAGTTTTGTTCCACATTGTTCTCCCTCTTTATGCAGGATCTCCTACATCCCTTCCAAGTGGATGGCAGTGGTAGCTGGGCACCATCTAGTTCTTCTGGTCTCGTGGTTGTATAGGTTGCAGATCGGATGGTGTACGAGTTTGGTTTTTTTTAATGGTGAAGGTGATAGCAATTAAGTGTCCTAAACAGGGAAGAGGGACAGGGAAAGAGGGCCAGGAACTTTCCAGACCTAATGAGGAACTTACGCAGTCTTTTTTACCTACATAACAGGTGATAACATCTGCTTTTTTTAGTATTAAACTAGTATCTGGGAGACCTAGCAGGGTCCTATACGTCATCTATAGACACACAACACACACACACACCCTGAAGGAAATGGGATTTCTCAAAGTTGAGAATTCCTAGAGCTATAAGGTACACTTCTAATTCTTTGAAAGTTCCTTGGTCAGAATTTATATCTGTGTTTGGATGGTATGATTAAAAACAATATAAAGTTACATCATATAAAACCATCTATTATATAACCAAAAAAACTAAGCCATACTCAATGCCATTGAGTCGATTCCACTTATAGCGACCCCATTGGGTTTCCAAGGCAGTAAATCTTTACGGAAGTAGATTGCCCCATCTTCCTTCCATGGAGTGGCTGGTGAGTTTGAACCACCAACCTTCCGGTTAGCAGTTAAATGCCTTACACACTGTTCTGGTTGCCTAGTACCGCTCTGACAAGAATATACCACAAATGGGATGGCTTGAAGAAATAGTTTATTCTCTTACAGTTTGGAGGCTTTATGTCCTAGTTCAAAGTGCCAGGCTCTAGGGGCTGGGTGAAGGCCCCTCAACCTTGGGCTTCACCTCTTGCTCCTGCTCCCAGCCCAGTGAAGCTAGAGGCTTTTCTTTACTCAGACAGCTGCTGGCTGCTGAGGCTGACAAGCCCAAGGTTGTCAAGTAAAAAGTCACAGTCCTGATGCCAAACCATGTGGCAGGCCACTGATTCAAGTCAGTTGAAAATCCCAAGGTCGGAAGAGCATGGCAGGCTGTTGAACAACGACTCGGCTACATGCAGGGTTGAAGTGTGCATAAGCTAGAGACCATTCCCAAAGCTGTTTTTTATATACTGGAAGCAGACCACATACCCAAAGCATCTACTCAGCTGCTCCAATAGATTCCAGCATGGAATTAATTACCAGTCTCACCATAGGGAGTAATTGCATTCAGTTGCCCAGCCACTCAACCAGGCCCAGCCAAGTTGACACACAAACTTAATCACCACAGGCACTTGCCATCATATCTTTTAACATTTTTCATGTTCAAAAAAAGGTATGTGTTTTTTTTTCATACTTCAAAATTTTTTATTTAAAAAAAAATTTTATTGTCATTTGGGTGAAAGTTTACATAGCAAATTTGTTTTCTATTCAACAATTTGTTGGACATTTTGTTTCATGACATTGGTTCTAATCACCTCAGCAGCACTCTTCTAACACTTCTCTCTGGATTCTGTTTCCATTCATCCTTCTTTCCTGTCCCTTCGTGCCTTCTGATCTTTGTTTTTGGGCAAATGCTGCCCTTTTGGTTTTGTATGGTTAATTGTACTGAGGAATATGTTCCTCCCTACTGTTATTACTCACTTTATAGGCCTGTCTGTTTGGCTGATAAGTGATCCCTGGGGTTAGGTTCAGTTCCAGGCTTGAAGGGTGTCTGAGGGCCACTGTCTCAGGGGTTCTACCAGTCTCTATCAAACCAGTAAGTCTAATAATCTTTTTTATGATTTTGAATTTTGTTCCCTCCCACAAAAACAATTTTAAGATCTATTTTATATCATAAGGAGGCATAATTTTTGTATCAAATGGCTTTATGCTGTTCTCTTATCTGTTTTCCTGCTTTTTAGACAAATCTGTATGTAATGTGTGACAGAGAATAGGCATGCATGCTGATGAAATAAGCCAGAAAAAAAAACCTTTAAAATAGCTTGAGAATCCTTAGGCTTCTTTTTCCACCTTCTTCAGTTTGCCTATTGTGGATTGGGTTCCCTGAAAAGAACATGCTAAGAAGGCATTTAGCATGTAAAATATTGAAGAGTGCCTTTGAGATCAACACATGTGGAAAAAAGGAAAGGGAGGAGAGGGGAGAAGTCAAGATGAAATGCAATCCCGCCAGCAGCCTCTGCTGACCCCAAGGGGAGTTCTGGAGCCAAAATGGCCCTTCAGAGTTGTCCTGAGTTGTCCTACGATGGGTGGCCAAGACTTCATTCATAGTTCTGTTGATCAGTCATTAGATGTGGGCTGCCGTGGGAAGGGGCCTGATCTTGGGCAGATAGCTTTGTGCAGCTTAAGCAGTCTTTGATAGGGCTGAGAGCAGGTCTTTCTGCTGATAGCACTCCTAGCAACTCAGAGCACAAGGCCTTCAGTAAAAGAGCATCTGAGTGGAGGATCAGTGTTCATTCACACCTCTGTCTTCTGTTAAAATAAGACTTGAATTAGTAAAATGTGGGAATTTGCTTTTTTTTAAAAAAAAAAAAAAGATTAAAGAAGATGTTTTTGGTTAAAGAGGGTGCGGAGAGAGTGTATGTTCCTGTAGGTATTGGTGAATTCTCTCAGACTTGCTGCTTTTGAGCATCCAAGAGAACTAAAAACAAAAAACACTGCTGTTGAGTCGATCCCGATTCATAACGATCCCTCCTTGGGTTTCTGAGATGATATCTCTACGGAAATAGATTGCCCAGTCTTCCTTCCAAGGAGTGGCTGGTGGGTTTGAACCACCAGCCTTCTGGTTAGCAGCCAAGTGCCTTAGGCACTAAGCCACCAGAGCTCCCCGCCTGGGGTCATTTTAGTGGTTTCCATGACCACTTTTGGATCTGCTCATAGCAAGGACAGCCAGTTTTCTTCTAGGAAATTTGTTAGGTAACTAACAGGCTTTGTTGTTGTTTGTTTTATCTTTTTAACTTTAAGAAAAACAAAAGCTTTTTTGGTTCCTGAAAGAGGGGGGGAAATGAAGATATTTATAAAGGAGCACTCAGCAGTAAAAATCATTGAGGAATGGACCAGTTCCATGTAGGACATTCTTTATTAATGTTTAGAATGTTTCTTTAGCCACTTAAGTCCTCAGTTGCCTTAGTTCTTCACTCATTATGAAACATAACTTATCTGTTTTTTGTTTTTGGCATACTATAGAAAATCAAATTGATTATGATTCTTATTCAGCAAATTAGATGGAAATAATCCTCAGGACAAGTATTTCTGAGTCTCCCTTGTAGAGTCACTTACCGTCTACCTGTCTTGTAGTACATAGTTATGAAATGCTGTTTTGGACCATGACAGGGATGCTTAAATGAGTCAAAGGCCAAGGACACATAGTTCTTATGTGAAAATAAAGGAGGCAATCTTTGACTGTTTCATACTGCACTTAAACTTGTGTTAGTCACTCCAGATTCATCATTGTAGAATATGAGTCCATATTCTAAATTTGGCCCTAGACTTCTTGTCTAGTAAAAGTTTTTCGTAGGCTTCCTGGGCTAGATACCTGACTCTCAATCATTATATTAATTTTTCTTCAACTTAGGTATTAAAGATTGCTAACCCTTAGGCTTTTTCCTAAAATCTTACTAAATTGCTTCTTTTCTATACCAAACCTCATTTCAGTTTTTATAAAAGTATGTTTATAATAGTTGAAAAAAATGTTGCTAGTGCTAACATTAAAAAAAAGTTTTTGGATTAAAAGTAATTTTACACATAGGAGTTCATTTGAACAGTTTTTGGCTTTCAGCAGGATTTTCTTAATGAATTTGGGTTGGTTTAATCCCTTCATTGGGTGATTATAACTAAGAAATTGTAAGAGTCATTTCTGATCTTTAACCCATCAGAATGAAAGAGAAGGTATTTTTGAAAAGTCAGCGGGGGAAATGAATTGATTTACAAGTAGTTCTGTTTTTGTACAACTTATTCAAGCAATTAAGTGAAAATTAAATGAAATGAAATTTTACTAAGTCTAGAATTCTGCTGCTTTAAATCCTTTGGATGGGGATGAGTGAGGGGAAGGTTCACTATAACTAAAGCAAAATCTAGAGATCCACGTTTTGTTCCTGGCATGTAGAATATAATATGGAAACTCTTTCTAAAAGGCAGTGATGTATTTTGGAAAATGCCTTAAGAAAATAATTAACTAGATTTAAATTGACTTGATTTTATTATTAATCTCCCTAGGACAAACAGCTTGAAGCTTGAAGGTGTAAAGAAATTGTGGGGAAAAGAGGGCTATCTTCCCAAGAAAGAAAGCACAGTGGGTGATGAAGCTGAATCTCAGCCTGTTCCTCAAGATAATGTAAAAATGGAGAATATAGATCAAACTATAACAAAAAAGGACCAACCTCAAGTACATATGCAGTCCAAAGAAGAGAAAGAAAAGCAGCTGTTGGCATCATCATTATTTGTTGGGCTAGGATCTGAAAATACAATCAATTTGGTAAGTAGTCAGTTACATTCATCTAAGTATCTGTGTCCCCTCTTTTGTACCAGAAAATTGGCTCTATAAAAGTTCCTGGTTATCATCTCTACAAGGAACCCAGGTGACACAGTGGTTAAGTGCTCAGCTGCTAACTGAAAGTTGGTGGTTTGAACTCACCAGCTGCTCCATGGGTGAGAAAACCTGGCAATCTGCTCCCATAAAGATGCCAGCCTAGGAAACCCGATGGGGCAGTTCTCCTTTTTCGTATAGGGTTGCTTGGTGTCTAAATCGATGGCACCCAACATCATCATCATTTTCTGTACCCATGGCAGAAATGGATTTCCCCAGCTCTGACTCTCTATCCTCTGCTGAGCTACTGAGTCACCAGTGATCCACCTACTTTCCTGAAAGGGAAAACCTAATTGGCTCATCTTGAGTCAGTCCAATAGGCTGGGACAAACGATGGGGTCTTATAGTACAAATATGTCCACAGATACTCCTTTGGGTGGATGAGACACTTTTCAAAGGGAAGGGGCTTGATTGAAATAGTCTCAACAATAATAGTTCAAAAATATTGATATGTCTGTGGAAAAAAGTACTACTCAAAATGTTATTTTTAATAGTGAAAAATAGTCAATTTAGATGTCTTTAGTAGGAGAATGATTATGTAAATTATATTTACTCAGAATATTATTCAGCCATTAAAATTTATTAATACTGTATTCCAAATGAAAAAAAAAATACTTTAAAGCAAAAAAGCAGAATATAAAGTTTTATTTACACCTTGTTTACAACTGTTAATAAAGTAAAAGTATATTGAGACTACAAGAAATTCTACAAAAATGAAAATTATTTTTAGGTATTAAGATGATTTTCAAAACTTTGTATGATGACTTACTATCTTGATAGTAAAAGAATGAAAAGTTGGAGTACAAGGACAGGTACTATTTTTGAACATCTACCAAAAAAAAAAAAACCCAAAACAACTCACTGTCATTGAGTCTATTTGACTATAGTGACCCCCTCTTGTGTTTCTGAGGCGGTATCTCTACGGAAGTAGATTGTCCAACCTTCCGAGGAGTGGCTGGTGGGTTTGAACCACCAGCCTTGTGGTTAGGGGTCAGATCCCTTAGGCACTACGCCACCAGAACTCCCTTTGAGCATCTAGGAATATGAAATCCTCCCTTTGGTGGGCTGATGAATTAACCCATTGCAAAATTGTGATTAGAATTAAATTTTTATACATCTTCCCAGTTCCTTCATCCTCATTCTCCCTTGGTGGAATTTTCCTTCCATCCTTGTCAACAGTAGGGCCAGATAGTATGCCAGGCTATATTCCTTATGGGTCTCTCTTTTCCAGACTCACCAATCCTAATCCCATTTCTGTCAGACTTCATGTTCTCTTCTAAGAAAAAAACAACGCAATCAGCCTAGAAGTAAAAATTAGTATGTCTTACTGGTATCTTAGTTTACATTTGCAGTTTAGCAACAAAGTGAATGATCTTGGGTCTTTGAACTGTTAGGCAGACTGGTGAGAGATTGCCAGCATATAATGCTCTGGCACTGATGATGCAAAATCTCAGTTGTCATATTGCAACAAAGTCAGGTACACCAAGAGCTCTGATTTGTGAACCCCATTGCTGGTATAAAGGTGTTTCTGCCTTCTCCGTAAAGTATGTGGCTTTCAGATAGATTCTTTCTTAGAAGAAATTCTTGGTGACATATTAGTATCAGATTTTTTTGTGGTAGGCTTGAAATCACAAAAGCAATTAGAATGGTTTCTTGTTTTTTAATTTAAATGATGCTGAAGCAAGTCATTATATAAAATTAGCATGTATTCTCCCTCTTCAACCCCAACTTTTCCTCTGTCACTAGGGCAAAACAATGAGAGTAGGACTGACTAGATATGCTCTGTCTGTACTGTATTTTTATTTTTAAGAATAAACTACTAGTTTCTACCAAAAAGCCTCCTGGGATTTTGATTAGGTTTGCACTGAATTTATTGGTAGACTGGAGGAGAATTGACCTATTAATAATACTGTTTTCCAATCCATGACCATGGTATGTATATATGTCTTCATTATTTAGCTATTTTTAAATTCCTTTTATCAATGTTTCATAGTTTTCACTGTGCATTAAATGTATCTCTAGTTATATCACATTTTTGGATGCTATTATAAATTGTAGTGCTTTTTAAATGTCAATTTCTAATTATTAGTATATAGAAATATAATTTATTTTTCATATTGATCTTGTATCTCACCTTACTAAATTCATTAATTCTAATGCCTTTTTTAAAAATAATAAATTCCTCAGTATTTCCTAAGTTGACTGTAATGCTATATGAATAAGAAGCTTTTTTTTTTTTAATACTTTTACTGTGTAAGACATCCACTGCAATGTTGAATAAAAGTGGAGAGTAGACATCATTTCCTTATTCCTGATGTTAGGTTGTAAAGTTCTCAGTAAACCATTATGGTTTTGTTGTTGTTGTTGCTATGTGCCATCGAGTCAGCCCTGACTCCTAGCGACCCCTCCTTGGGTTTCCGAGGCAGTATCACTACGGAAGTAGGATTGCCCAACCTTCCTTCTGAGGAGTGGCT